AATTAAAAACATTCTCATCTTCAACAGTTTGTAAGACCTCTTTTTTAATCCTTATTTTATGCCATATACACACACCTAATCCTTACACATATCTGTGTATCGCTACTATGGATCTATCCTATCCTCTTTTGCCCTTTAGTGTGAAGTCTATCTTTGGTCTATCCATTTGTACCAGCAGTTCCAGCTGTTGTAGTATATTGAAGTGTCTTTATTTTTTAATGCCAAAGTTAATTTGTCCATTTCTGCACAACTTGAAATTTTTTGAATGATCTGATGGAACATGAGGCTGCTTCCAACATTGTGCAAAAGCCAATCTGGCTGCTGTCAAAATGTGTATTATTATATATTTCACTTTTTTTGATATTTTTTTATCAAAGATCCCTAACAAAAAGGACTCTGGTTTGAATTCGATCTGTTCTCTCATCATTTCTTCCAGCCAATTTCTAATTTTCTGCCAATATTTTTGAGCTTCTGTACAGGACCACCACATATGGAAAAAAGTTCCCTCTTTTTTTTTGCATTTTCAGCAATTCGGACTCATATTGGGGTGCATCTTCACTAATCTCGAAAGAGGAAGGTGCCATCTATAAAACATTTTATAGGCATTTTCTTTGTATGCTACCAATTTTGTAATTTTATTATTTCTACCCCAGACCTTTTCCCATTCTGCTATGGTGATGCTACGTCCTATATTCCTACTCCAGGCTATCATGTTCCCTTTTACAATTTCTTCTTCTAATTCTACTTCTAATAAATAATTATAAAATTTTGTTGTTGTTTTTTTGCCTGATCCTAATAAAATTTTATCTAATTACTGGAGTTTATTGTTAATTCCAAATTCTTTCTTGTCCTGTTTATATCTACTTTGAATTTGAAGATATGCCCACTGATCAATTTTTAGTCCCCGCTCTTGAAGTTCTTGCCGCGATTTCAAATTTCTTTGCGCATCCAATAGGTCCTTATATTTAATCATTTTAGTGATATCCAGATTATTTGGGTGAATCATCGCCTCCATTGTTGAAATCCAAATTGGTATTTTTAAATAGTGTTTTTTCCGTATTTTCTTCCAATTAGTTAATAATAAGTCTCTGATTAGGTGTCTGTGAAAATATTTCTGGCTAGTTTTCCCTACATCCCATAAAAAAGCATGCCACCCCCTCTGCAAGTCATGGCCTTCTAAGAATAATATTCTCTTATTGGTTAAATTCACCCATTCCATATTGTGTTTAACAATTGTTTGCCACCCAGACTCACTGGTTTGAGATGGAAGGCTATACAAATGGTAAGAATGAATGAATGAATAGAATAGAATTCTTTATTGGCCAAGTGTGATTGGACACACAAGGAATTTGTCTTTGGTGCACATGCTCTCAATATAAGAAAAAATAAAATACATTCAATGAATGAATGAATGAATGAATGATGAATGAATGAATGAATGAATGAACCGGAAGAGTAAAAATAATATCTAGTTTCATTGGTTGTGACATGTCAATCTAACCTCCAGCTACTGATAAAATTTGTGTGTGGGGGGTGGGTGGGTGGGAGGAGAATGCGAGTTCTGACACTTTCAACATTTTAGATTTTTTAAAAAAGACTTTGAATACCAAACATGAATTAATTCCTTGGAGGGAAGGAGGGAGGAAAGGATTCTTAGATTTTGATGCTTATCCGAGTTGAAAGTTCATATCTTCTTTCCCGCATACAAAAGCAGGACAATAAGCTCATTCTCCTGATATTCATTTATTTTTCTCAGCTGTTGGTCTGGCTGCCAGCCACCATGTGGTGACAGTCACCAGAACTGGTGACTTTCGTAACTGCAACAGCTGTTAATGGGATTAGCCAAGGAAACAGAAAACAAAACTTTCATTGAGGGGCAACATACTGTTGGTTATATGGCCACTGTATTGTAATTCTTAGGGCTGCTTTCAGCAAGCCAGAGAAAAGAACAAAACACTGATCTATGAATTGTTCCCACGAATTACTTTGGGGACAGCTACTTTGAAAACCCAGGGTCACGCTTTTAAAATAAAAGAAATGCTAATAAGTGAGGGATATCATTGGAAAAAAATATATCATCCCAAAATGTCACTCGTTATTTTTATCTCTCAAAAAAGTAGGGTTAACCTAATCCTATCAACTTATCGAATTAGGTACACTGAGCTTCGTTTTATTTAGAAAAAAATATAAAAAGAAAATATGTAGTGGAAGCTCAATATGGTGTCAAATGTTGATCGTGCATTCCTGTGGAATTCTGGTAGGTATGCAATATGTCACGGGTGCAACATGAAATTATGGATTAGCCATTCCACACCCTTCATGGAGCTGTTGTGAGGTCATTACCAACTCCCTTTCAGAGCCTGGAATGCTGGTGGTTGACTTAAAAGAAAGTTATTAATCAGTCTAATTCAGTGTTTCTCAACCTTGGCAACTTGAAGATGTGTGAACTTCAACTCCCAGCATTCCTCTGAAGATGTGTGGACTTCAATTCCCAGAATTCCTCAGTGATTCCCACTGCTGACTGGGGAATTCTGGGAGTTGAAGTCTACACATCCTCAGGTTGCCAACACTGCAAAATGCTGGTCTAATTATTTAAAAGTATCTCTCTTATCACACGCCTCATATGTCAGTCTACCGTTCCATGGTTTGGCCATCTTTATTCCCTGAAGGAGTCCAACAGTGCCATGATCGCAGACCTACTAAACTTACAGAGTTGTGCGCTCTGCCCAGAAGATTTCAGCAACAGCTTCAGTTCAAAGAGAACCAAGGCCACATGCACAGCGTGGCAACGCAAACGTTCGGTACGGAAAAGGAAAGCGATGGCAGCTTCAAACTGGGCTGTGAGGAACAAGACTTGGAAGTAGAGGAATGGCTGCTGATTCACGGCAAAATGTGACTCGCCTGAAGAAGAAAAGCACAAAGGGAAGGGTGTTTTTACAGCTGATCTTCAACGATGCAGACGTCACTTGTGAAAAACATGTTTGGGAAAGCAGACACGTTGCTAAATTGTATATTTTACGGGACTTGCAACCACAACTGAGCCCAACATTTCCGTTACTAAGCAAGACAATTTGTGATGGGAGTTTCGCCCCATTTTACAAACCTTTCTTGCCGCAAGTTAAGGGAATCACTGCATTTGTTCAATTGATAACTATGGGTTTTAAGTGAATCCCCATAGAATTTGTCAGAAGGTCGTAAAGGGGGATCATATGACCCCAGAACACTGCAATTGTCATAAATATGACTCAGTTGCCAAGTGTCTAGATTTTGATCACATGGCCATGGGGATGCTGCAATTTTTATCAGTGTGATAACTGGTGCATAAGTCACTTTTTCCCTGTATTGTTGTAACGTCAAATGGGCACTAAATGAATGGTTACAACTCAAGGACTACCCTGGGCATCACTTGAGCCAATTAACAGGAGTTGAAAGAATGACTGCAGAATTTAAGAAATTTAAAATTCAGGATAAAAATTAACAGTGACCCAAGTCCCAACAAAATCAACAATTTACACTTGAACCGAAGAGGCAGGCTGATTTCCCTACAGCATAACCTCAAAGCAATGCGAGAGAAAATTATTTCCTAGGAATATTGGGAAGGGTTTTTTTAAAAAATTTGATTTAAAAATCTTGTCACTTCCAGAACCCTGACAGGATATCTTAATAACTGGAGATTTAACAGGAAAACTACAGAAAAGGTGGCAAAGTAGATGGAATCATAACATTTCTTAAATATTGCTGCTAAGGTAAGATTATGGTATCAGTCTGGCTTTTGAACAAAAGTCAAAAATTGCCAGTTTCAGAGTCTTCACTATCTCCTAAAGCCAAGGTGTTCATACAAGAACTTTTGCTTTGATGTGCCATGTCAGTTTATTGAACGAATTCATTTTTAAAAGTCCCAGCACTGGATCTGCTCAAGATCTGGGATCAGCTTTCTGCACAACAGAGTTTATTTTCAGAAATCTCCAGGTATTGTCCCTAGCTGAACTGACCGTAATCTTCAAGCAGTTGTTTCTGGAATTGGGATAAAGTCAGCCTGTCTTGCGGTGCGCTAGAACTAGTCTCGTCAAAGCATACTTGATTCAGCTGGAAAAAGACAGAAAAATTAATTGAGCATCCCTCCTTCCTTTCCCAAGGGATGCATGCAATATATTTTCCAAAAATGGAATAGGCCTACACAAAACCAACACCGGATGGTACCAACGGGTCTGGGAGGTATGGAGATCATTGAATAAACTCCACATGGGTACAAGAAGATCCAGAAGCACTCTGAACAAATGGAGCTATCTGGTGACTTCTGCCCCTTGCAATTGTGGTGACACGCAGAAAACAACACATATGTGTAGCTACCCTTTGTGTCGTGATCAGTGTATACCTCAGGACCTCATGGCATTGTGACAGAACACAATTAATGTGGCTAGTTTCTGGGCAAGATCTGTTTAACTTGTGCATTTTTTGATCTTGTATTTTACATTTTCATGAAGTGAGGTTTCTTAAATCAAACCAATAAGCAACCGGATGACTTAGGATGATAAAATTCTAGTTACTGATGAAAGTAACTAGAATGACTCCAGTGTATCTAACATATGAAATGCTTTCCAGAATGACAACAAACAGAAAGAGAAAACACAGGAAGTTTTGATCCTATGTTTACATACATATCTATGTCATCTCTTGGAAGAGTGACTTCTATTATATAGGTGCTGCAGTGGAGTAGGATAATAATAGCTGGACCATCTTCAATCATGTTTAAGTTTATATGAGGAAGAAAAAATGAATGCTATAAAAAAAATGGCAGCACAATCATTTTGAAGAAAAGTGATTACCTTCAGCCAAAGATAATCTTCTGTTTTATCCGCCACTTCACTGTGGTTATCGGCAATATCACACCGGCCTATGATACAATACACGGTTCTTTTGTAAGGATCAGTGTTGTTTCTCAGCGCCCGTCTATAATGGAGGCGAACTTTGTTCTCGGTGGCAGGAGAAAGCCTACAATTTTAAAAAGGGAAGCTGAAACTTGAGGTGTCTTTAAAACAATCAAATTTGGAGTTTTCTTCTCAAAGCAAGCTACCCATGCTTCAAAAGTGGTCTTTTGAGCCAAGCAGCTTTCCTGTGACAGAAATACTGTTTTCTTTTCTTTTTCTTTTTTTTTCTTTTAATAAGTTTTTATTAGATATAAACTTTTAAACCATTGAACTGTGATCTTCTTTGACATACACTTTTGTCGTTGCATGTTACACTCAAAAAGAAATTTTGTACATTGATATGCATATATACATTTAATATTTATACATTTTGATTCCTTCCCGTTTAGACCTCATTCCATTTTGCGAACTCCCTTTCATATCTCTCCAGTGGTAAAATTTATTCCAGATAACAGATAATCAGAGGTGGAAGGGACCTTGTAGGTCATCTAGTCCAACCCTCTGCCCAAGCAGGAGACCCTACACCATTTCTGACAGATGGGAGTCCAATATTCTGACTCATCTTTATCCTTCAGTTCCAATGTCAACCTATCCATTTTGGCACATTGTAATATCTTAACTATCACCTCGTCTTCCCTAGGAATTTCTCTAGCCTTCCAATTTGGGGCAAATGTCATTCTTGCCACTGTGATTACATGTATTATTAGATAGGTATCAGCTTTACTGTACTTCTCTGTCATTATTCCCAATAAGAACAACTCAGGTTTGTAGAAAAAAAATTAACCCCATCATTTCCTCTAGCCATAACCAAATTTTATACCAGAACTCCTGAGCCTTTTTACAGGACCACCATACATGGTAGTATGTGCCCTATTCTTTCAGACATTTCCAACAATTAGGTGATTGGTTTCCATACATTTTGGCCAATCTAGCTGGTGGGAGATGCCACCTATAAGACATCTTATACAGGTTTTCCTTGTATGATGTGGCTAATGTTATTTTTTTTATTTCGCTTTCCAGGTTGATTGGGAAATACTGTTTTCTTGATGCCTTTTTGCTGACTGAACTCTGCTGCTCATGTAATTCACAGTATTTTATATTGCAGAAACCGATCTTATAATATAATTTCGGTTATCCAAATTCAGAGCTGTCATGTGGATCGAAAGAACAGATCTGAAGTACCTCCCACCGACATAATGTAGCTTCACACTCAGAAAGAGTGCTTAATTTTAAAAATAGATAGGTTCCAACTGAAGCAAAAAATAAAAGTGCATTTCTCAAACGGCTGCACCTTCTGTGAGTACCAACTGCTCCAGAATCATGAATTTAAGGCAGTGTTTCTCAACCCTGGACACTTGAAGATAGATGTCTGGACTTCGACTTCCAGAATTCCCCAGCTAGGTAATTCTGGGAATTGAAGTCCACACATCTTTAAGTGGCCAGTTGCAACTGGCCACTTTAAGACTTGTGGACTTCAACTCCCAGTGTTCCTCAGACAGCTGGGAGTTGAAGTCCACAAGTCTTAAAATGGCCAAGGTTGGAGACCCCTGGTTTAAGGTATCAAAAGTCTTCCGCACAACTTGAAAGCCTGAACCTCTCTTTTCTTCGAGTTGATTTTGAAGGTGAGCAGAAATGCCCAGCATTTAAAGTTCCAACCAGAATCATGACTTTCAATGGAATTAGTTCTTCTGCCTCCCGCCACCCCCTGACATTCATACTTTTTCTTGGCCTCTTCCGGCGTTACCCAAGTACCTTTTGTCTTTGCTGTGCATGTACTCCTGGAACCAAGTTTTGAAATCTCCCAGCTGGTGCTGAGCTAGGTTGACCACTTGCATGGCCGCCATTAAGTCCCCGCATCGCATACAATAGTAAATGATTGCCCAGACCGGATGACCTTCCACTTCCCCATCCTAAAACAAGAGAAGCAGAAAAATGTCCAGAGATTTGACTTGTTGCAGACAGTCCTTGACTTAAGACTGCAATTGAGCCCAAAATTTCAGTTGCTGAGAGAGACAGCTGTTAAATGAGCCGTGCTCCGGTTTACAGCCTGTCTTGCTGCAGTTAAGTTAGTAACTCGGTTGTTGAGTGAATCTGGCTGTCAGGGTTCCTGCGATTGCCCTAATTAAATTATTAGCCTTGAGCCAAGTTTCAAAAGAAACCAAAATATTTATTAGGAGCAACATGGCCGGCATTAACCTGTATAAAGCCAACTCTGGGACACGTAATTTATTATCACCTATGACCCTGTTTTCCCCCACTCTCCTCGGTGTGTCATAAATCAGATTCTCCAACGAAACAATCTCACTCTGCAGTGAAGGATTTTCCTGGGCAGAAGACCCAGTAGCCTAGGCTACAATCTCCACAAGATAAGCATGCCGCACTGCTCCCTCAGGCCTTTCTCCCCTCCTGCTTATAGCAACTCGGAAACAGGCATAGGAATGATTTACGAGTTGACATTAGCTTCTCCACTGACATGGCTTATCAGGAGGTCGTAAAAGGGGATTACAGCACTCTAGGACACTGCAACTGTCATAAATATGAGTCAATTGCCAAGTGGCTGAATTTTGATCATATGACCATGGGGATGCTGCAATGGATGAAGTGTGAAAAACAGTCATAAGTCCCTTTTTTCAATGTCGATGTTCACTAAATGAATGATTATAAGTCAAGGACTTCCTACATTGCAACAAAGACCTTGAATTTAGGAGATAAATGTTGAAACGGTAAGTGGTACATACAATCGACCGAAGGTTCCTCTGTATAAAAATAAGTCTTGCACTTATTTAAAAAAAAAAAAAACACGCTTGGTGATATTCAAACCCTATCTGCCTTTTGGAAAAGGTGCTTATTCATTCTATATGGGCATATTTTTAGAAATTATATCTGCATATTCATGAATGCAAATTTCATCTCTCAGGAGCCGCCAAAGATGCAGGGAGCCATTTTAGCAAAAAATTTCCATTTACACAGATGTCTTTGTGCTCCAGACAGATGGGGAATTCTTCAAACTGCTATAGAATATATGGTCAGAGGGGAATTGGTGAACGCTGTTTCTCCCTTCTCTCATTTATAGAAAGCTTAGCTACGGAATGTGCTTTTCCGTGAATGAAAACACACCACCAGAGACCATCCGTTATTTTTTCTTGATGCGGTTTTTCATCACCAAATCCTCACGCTGAGGAGAATCTTAAGAGGTTATATTGCAGACATCTCTATTCATTGCAGCACCTTCCTTAAATGTGTTTACATCCTGCCAATGAAGAAAAACCCACTACCCTGCCAAGCCATTTACAAAATCCCACCGTTAAACTGATCTCATTTTTAGAAATGTTCTCCCAATGCTCATTCAACATCTGGTTCCTTGCAGTTTCTGCTTATCTAAATCCCGGTCTCTTTTCAGGATAACATTCGTTGTTTACGGGACCTATCAAATGCTCATTTTTCCCTTTGTCAGGTTAAATATACCAGGCTGTTTTTCTGATCTATGTTCTTTTTAAAATGTAGCACCCAGATGTGAAAATGCTATTTCACAAGCAGCTTGCGGTGATCAAAACTTAGGTACTTCTGTATTTTTTTATATACTGTATTTATTTAATATTTAAAATAATTATTATTATAATTACAATTTTCATTATTACTATTATTATCAGAACATTTGCTATTTCTCTGTAAAATGAAAGGGACGTAGACCATACACTATTTTCAAAGTATATATATATATAAAAAGACTTAGGTACTTCTGCCATAAATAAAATTGATTGACCAATACTCATTCCTTTAATTAAACAATTTGTAAAGCAATGCTCTAAGCAGGATCAAAAACCAAACCAAACCAAACACAATATAGATAAGAACCAAAACCAACACAACGATGTATAAAAACACACACAAGGTCTAAAAAGAACCCACCGCTAGTTTTTCAAATGATCTTAGGCTACGCAAAGGATGCTTTAGGAGAAAGAGCTTAAGACTGCAATTAATATTTTTCAGCAGGCTTTCTAAAAGAACCTTTAAAAACCTTTAAAAGAGCCTTTGGCAATCTTGAGAAAGCTAATGCAAAGTGCACCATTTGCACATATTATAAACTCTCCACCTAACGAGCGCAGTTCTGCCGAGGTAAATGAATAAACCAAATTTTGCTAGGACCGTGGAAATCCTGGATGTTCCTACCTGCAGCCCTGGAACAGACACTGGGAGTTTGATGTTCAAGAAACTGCGGACTAACTGGTAAGTTCCGGGTACTCCGCCCAGCTGGGCTTGGTGCAAATTTCCAAAGACGGTCATCAAAGTGTAGTTCTTGTAGCTGCAAGGAAACAGGCATGGCATAATCAGTCAGGATCGCTGAACATCCTTTGACTGATTTCGCACAAAGCATCAGAATCAGAATAGAGCTGGAAGGGTTCTTGGAGATCTACTAGTCCAGCCCCCTGCTCAAACAGGAGATCCTGTACCTGTGATGGCGAGCCACCGGCCAGCTGGTCTTTGGGTTTCCGGCACTCTGGCACACAGACATGCACACACGTTCCAGTTTGGGCACTCGGTGCCAAAAAGGTTCGCCATCACTGTCCTATATAGCAGGGGTCTCCAACCTTGGCAACTTTAAGACTAGCGGACTTCAACTCCCAGAGTTCCTCAGCCAGCTTTGCTGGCTGAGGAACTCTGGGAATTGAAGTCCACTAGTCTTAAAGTTGCCAAGGTTACCATTTCAGACAAGTGACTGTCAAATCTCTCCTTAAAAACCTCCAGGGATGAAGCATTCACATCTTCCGGAGGCAAGCTGTTCTCACTGTTAATTGTTTATTGTTCTCACTGTTAGGAAGTTCGTCCTTAATTGCAGGTTGCTTCTCTCCTTCATTAGTTACCATCCATCGTTTCTTGTCCTGCCCTCTGGTGCTTTGGAAAAATAATGTGACCCCCTCTTCTTTGTGGCAGCCCCCCAAATACTGGAATGCTGCTATCATGTCTCCCCTCATCCTTCTTTTCTCTAGACTAGCCAAACCCAAATCCTGCCACAATTCTTCATGTGTTTTAGCCTCCAGGCCTTTTAATCATCTTAGTTGCTCTTCTTTGCCCCTTGTTCCAAAGCCTCAACATCCTTTTTTGTAATGTGGTGACCAAAACTGGATGCAGGATTCCAGGTGAGGCCTTACGAAGGCTTTATCAAGCGGTACTAATACTTCCCGTGATTTTGATTCTATGCCTCTTTCTATACAACCGAGGACTGTATTCACTTTTTTAGTTGCTTCCTCACACTGCTTGGCTCATGTTTAAGTGATTGTCCACTGGGACTCCAACGTCCGTCTCACGGTAACTGTTTTCAAGCCAGGCTTCACCTAATCTGTATGTATTGGTTTTATTATGTGTGTTTGCATTAGTATTATGTGTAACTATGTTCAAAGGGAGCTCAGACCTTCTTTAAAATAATAATTCTACCAGGGTTCTTTCCTTTCCTTTGCACAGTACAAGTAGTCTTTGATTTACAACCGCAATTGGAACCAGCCCTATGACTTTATATGTCATGGAAGCTTCCTGGGATTTCCCCCCCCCCCCCTCTATTTAAGGATTTATACCTTTGCTCAAGATATTGTAAGGCCTGCCTTACAAACTCCATCTGCACCTCCATGCTCGTCCGTATTTTCAATGCGTCACTGGCGGGAACCAGCAGAACATCCGTCATTTGCTTCACCATGGCCCACAAGTCAGCAATGTTCTGCAAACAAGTGTGAAAGGGACGTAGGTACCTTGAGGGACAGCTTGGTAAAAGATGGCATTTCAAACATATGAGTTGATGGACAGGCTCCAAGATGATAGATAGATAGATAGATAGATAGATAGATAGATAGATAGATAGATAGATAGATAGATAGATAGAT